TGAGCTGCTGTTCAGCATCTTAGCTGTAGAGGGCAGTGTCACTGGCCCTCATATGTGGGATCCAAACTGGGGCCCTCTGGTGTCCCAAGCCAGCTCTTAACCATCGCGCCACTTGACCAGCCAAGATGTGTATTTACTTATTTACACTTTTCTGTACTTGATTTTGTTGCCTGCAATGTAAATGAATTAAATAAGCAGGCAACATTTTCAGTTCCACTCGTGCCCCAAGATCTTTCCCACCTTTTGGCTTCCGTGAATGATATGATAGTGTCTGGAAAATTCTCACCACTCCCACTACCTCGGAGTGGCTTCTCCAACCCTTCTTCCTATAACAACACTCTTGTCCCTGTTATATTCTTGCATCACACCCTTCATGTACCTTCACACATGGCTCACAATTTACATATAATTGCTGTTATTGCTGTGATCAGATATGAAGTACCTGTCTTCCTCATCAGACTGTAAGTTCTGAGAGGCCAGGAGCCAGCTGTGTTTCCCAGCATTTAACAAAGGGTGTGGCACAGCACCCCAGCATGTAAATGAACGAATGCACCCGTGTTTTCTGTGTGGAACTTAGAGAACACAAAGGGTAGGCATGGTGACAACTCACCTGTCTGCCACATGCATGGTTGTTATGACCATCAGGCCCCAGAAAGCCCCTGGGCCTGAGTGCTGGGAGCCGGACACATCTTCATGGAGGAGGCCATACAAGAATCGGGACTTTAGATGGGTCCAGGGATTCGATAGATGTTATGCCACTAAAAATGGGGTTTAATGGAACTTGACCAGTGGAGAGTAGAGTAAATTTAGTAGGTGATGGCAGCGCCCCACTCATAGTTCCTCATCTTTCTCACTATAATGCACATTGCCAAGCTGCCTCCTCCCCAGCACCTGCCTGGTTTTGCCAGAGGGCTCTCTCTGGCCATCAGAGCCAGCTTGGCCTGCAGAGTATGGGGCATTGATCCCCAACCTTCAACCAGGGGCTGATGGGAGTCTGTGTGGAAGTACACCAGCTCCCTTCACCCTGAGTGGGACAATGCTAGGATGCGTGTTCTCTGCTGTCTCTCAGATTCACTCAGCAGGGCTAAGCACCAGCGTATTGCCCTGGCCCCAGGATACAGATAAGCCAGCGCCTTCCCTGGGCCAAGCTGCTGCAGGTATAGGAAGGTATAAGATGCAGGCACCGCTACCAAAGAACACAAAGTCAGTCAGCATGACAGACACATGAACAGATCACTATAAATGTCATACAGGGTAGCAAGGGCAATGACCAAGGTGTACCCAGAAGGCAGAGATTCCCAGTGGGCTGTAGGAAGAAAAAGATGCTGAGTACCTCACCAGGTGGCACACTAGGATTCCCAAAGTCACAGTGAGAATTTGACACCTAG